AAACGCGAATGAAGGAAGCGCGAATAAAGAGCTTTTACTGTATGTCTGCAATTTTCCAAATCACATATGAGTTGTACAGGACGCGCTGGTTTTTACAACCTGTACTAAAATGTCTTAGAATACTCTGCACTAGTCTATAATATAACTTCGTATGTCTTCATTAAAATTTATTGAAGCAATTGGTGAACATAAAATTTTGAACTCTTCAATGCCAAATAAAGAATGTGAAACGAAAGCCAATCGCATTTTCCATCTATCTTCTGTTTGTTGGCTTCCGTGCACACACACTTATCTGCAAACCATCGCGCCTATTTACAGAATTGTATATGCTTCTCTTTTGCAAACGTTTGCAGGAATACGACGACGTCATATCAAGAAACTGATAGCTGCTTGCATGCATTTTGACCAGCGACATTTACTGTTGAAAATGATCAACTAATGAGAAATATCCATGCACACAACGGTTTAATTCGATGATTATGACCTTTGTCTAGATAAAATTTCCATTTACTATTACTGAGTTATTCAGTGTATACACACACTAATCATCGAAGGCTCAAAATTGCTTTTTCGACATTCATTATTTTTGTTGTTCATTTTAAAGAAATTATCATCAAACACTTTTAGAAATTTTGGCGGTGCTGCCTTTTCATACGCTAATTGTTGGTTTCAGTTTCAGCAGTTTCGAAATGACGATTTTGATGTCAATGGTAAAAAACGCCCTGGAGGACCAAAAAAGTTCGAAGACAATGAATTGCAAGACTTTTTTGACAAAATCTCAGCTCAAACTCACCAAAAACTTTCAAACAACAAAACAGTTGATGAACCAACTATTCCCAAACGTTTATATAGGATGAAACAGATCTAAAAGGGAGAAAATGGCTACCATACGAATTGACGAAAAATGCCAATTCGAACCGCTTCAACATCGCGGTTTAATTGCTTGTTAGGCAAAAAAAGAAACGTTTCCTGTAGCGATGAAAAGTGCGTGTACTATGACAATCCTAAGCGCAAAAAGTCATGGATGGCCATGGACATCGACACCCAAGAAGGATACTCATTGCCATAAAGTTTTGCTGTGCTTATGATAGAATCAGCAGGGTGTGGTATATGACAGACTGTTAAAATCGAATGAAACTCTTAGTGCAGATGTCTGCCGACGTCAATTGAATAAACTGAACGAGATAATGTTGCAAAAAAGAGCAGCAATAGCGGTTAACAGACGCAGTCATCCTATTTCACGGCGAGATTCGATCATAGATTGTAAGAGTTGTTGAAGATAGACTGTTGCAGCTCGAAAACGAAGTTCTGCCGCACCCAGCCCACTCACCAGGCACATAGCGCCTTCCGATTACCACTAGTTCAGATCGATGCACCATGTCTCGACTGGCACGCGGTGCGAAAATGGGTCGATGATTAGATCGCTCCCAAACCAATATCGTTCTTTCGTCATGGTAAAAGTTATAGAATATGATGGAAAATACTTCAATTAATATATGTTGTACCAATACATACAAGCACCTAATACAAACAGAATTTTTGTCCATAAAATTAATGAGAATGAAAGAGCAAGTAGTCAAATGACTGCTAACTAACAGCTTTTTTACTGTTATTGGTAACAAAAACAAAAGTCCATAACAATTTTCTAATTTCGGTTTTGAACAAAATGTTGGGCCATCTTGTCATTTAAATGTCTATGGTAATAGCAAATAAGCAAATACATATGCTTTTGTCATTAAGATTGTCAATAGTATACACTCTGTAGACACGAAGAGAAAACAAAAGCTTTAGACGTTTAAGTCACGTCTAGAGAGTTTCCATGGGTACCAAAGCGGGACTTCAATTCCCTGTTACTGTCAATTATGAAAAAAAATTTTTTTGTTTTGTTAGGGATAGAGCGTCACCTTGCAAAACGCGCAATAGTACGTCTTTATTGGGTTAGTACCACAAAAATTATGCGCTTATATCGAGAGTTGTTAGAAAAAATCGCCGCGGTTTTGTCTTTTTTAACCGTATGCGGGCTAGCTTGACTTTCATTTCATAATTTTCTAGATTACTTTATAGGCTTGATTATTATTTCTGAATGCGACCACCAAACGTGTCAATGAAATGGAAATCACTTTTCCGTTAAGCATCTGGACCGCTTGGCTTCAGATATTTTAGAAATGGAAAGAAACAAGAGATAAAGTTGTTCTTCATTTAGCTCTGGAAATAGTTGTTATATCTGAACTGCATAATAGACTTTCGTATCTTAAGTTTTTCTATTCTTTGTTTGTAGTCAAGTTAATTATATTGTTAATAAATATTATTCATATTTATCTCATCGTGCACTTGAACGTATTTTACTTTAACTCGTATATTTCACAGTATTAGAGTTTTATTGACATATTGGAAAGCATTCGCTTTTTCCTTTGACGGTATGTAAGCATAACATGGCCTTGAGTTTATCTATCACAAAATTTGCAGCATCAAGGAGGAATCTCTATAGATCTTATGGAGTAAATACATTTGTGATTAGCATTTAAGATTCAGTTGATTTAGGAATGTCTTCCAGGTTCCTGTGCAGACGCTTGGGGTATATATTCACTCGGTGACGGGACAGTGAGCAGAAAAAGAACTTCGAGTTAAGCAGTCAAAAATATTGCTAAAATAAATTGTGAATAATCCCACATTTAAGGAATATAATTGTAAATAAATAATCCTACTGTTAAAGAATGTAATTGTAAATGAAAGAACTTTAAAGTGTATTTCTATTGAACAAAACACTGACGATCCAGTGATACGAACTGTCACGAACTGCACGAAAATCCCAAATCCAGTTAAATTCAGCTAAGTGAATTTCCCTAATAATAAATAACCTAGAGAAGGAAAAACCAAATGAGCATTCGCAGGCGCCTCATGCAGCTGCAGGCCGATGGAAACGATAGGCGGAAAAGCAGACAGGTAAAAGCTAAGTACACATTCGCAGGCGTTTCATGCAGGTGCAGGCCGATGAGAACGATTAGAGGAAAAGCAGGCTGGGATTAGAAATAAAACCATAAATTTAGGTATAGTAACATGCTTGTGAAAATGTATATAAATAGAATATTTGTGGAAGGGAGAATTAGTCAGGCAAGAACACTTGAGCTGAGAGTACGTCCAAAATGAATTGTGAATAAAATAGTCGAACTGTTGTGAAAGACAAAGTAGTAAAATAAAAGAACTTTGAAGTGTATTTCTCTTGAATAAAATATCTGCGATCTAGTGATACGGACTGCATCTTAAAAAAGCGAATTTTATGACAATATATAATATTGCATGGTTTAAATAAAAGTGATGAATGGTGCAATACAATCAATACAAAAATTCGTGGATAATTTAAATACGACTTTAAGAAATCATCAACACGTTTAACTATATGACTTATGATTCCTTATTTTTTATTGTACTACGAATGTCGTGCAGGGTATATTTAGCTTATCCGGATGAATGTAACGCCCAGAGGAACATGGAATTCACCCATCTTTTATTATACTGCTCGATTTAGCATCACTTAATGACTCGATTTAAGTTTTTCTATTTGTCTAAAGCATGTTCAAGTTATAGGTCGACATTTTGGAGATAATGTGAAAGAAATTCATACACTGATAGGTTTTGCCCCAAAAATCAACCAATAAATTGAATCCAGTAACTGTTGCCGCCAATATCCGTATAACGGCTTACTTTGAAAAACTCTTTATATGAAAAAAGTTTACAATACTTAAAAATTCGTAACAAAAATCATTGCGTAGTAGCATTTCAACGCACGAAATTGGTGAAAAGCATTTGAATCAGGTGGACTAATTGCTTGAATACTCTCTCAAAAACTTTTTAATGCGAAAATCTTATCTAACAATGAAGTCTAATTTTCAACAACTTTTGGGGAAAATCGTTCAATAAGAGGATTAGAACATAAAACATTAACGATGGCGAGTTTGGACCGCGTAGGTCTATTCTTTCTACTCCGCTATGTATGCTAAGCGTCCTTATTCTTTGTATTATATTTTTAAGATGACGTCTAGTTCATAATGGTAGGTTGATGTAAAACTTACGTTACATAAGCCTTTACATGGAAACAAGGTATAATTTTTGATACCTAATGATTTTACTTGTTATTTTGACCCATTCTAAGAAACTTATTAGATTTGTTAAATGGCTGTAATTTACCGAACTATTTAATACGTGATCAACGTGAATCGGCGAGTTGGCTTTGTCAATCTCAATGCTTTCTATTAATGACACCTAGAACTCCAGAAAATTGGCGAAAATAATCCAGCAATACTAATTCCAGCTTCGGCCTGACAACGGCTGTGACTGTGGTTGGCTTAAATCGCGGGAAGAGTCTTTGCTCAGTATAGAGTACAGCACCCGGGTTTCTTACTCAAAGATAGACAGACGTTTTAGATAGTGCCTCGCCCCCACCAGGGAGGAGATACGCCCATATACGTATCTCCACTGGAACTCGAGGTTATTTTCGGGGCGCTGAGCGTTCGTTTCCATACTTCGTGTGCTATCTAGATCCGTGGTGTTAAACCTTCGCGCCAATTCCACATTAAACACCAAGATCTGTACACCACAACACCACATCTGTAACAGTAGATCGCTGTGTGAAGTTAATTGCATGCAAGCGCGTGTTCGAAACGGGAGAAAATAAATAAAGATTTTTGGGCGTAATATTGGTGAAAATTGAAAAAAAAAAACAACGGAAATTGATAAAACATTCATGGAAGTGTTCGTGGTTTGTGATTTGGTCATTTTCTGAGCTTAAATTGTGAATTATTAGAAAGTTTCCTTCTTAAGATTTCATTACTTCACATGTGTTAGAACATGCACACTTATTGCTCAACATTAGTGTGTCTTGAGGTTTTTGACTTACATAATTTGATGGCGCGTGGAAAATTATTTAAATTCATAATAACTTAAATAAATTTTGTAAAAGTTTGTGGATTTGTGGATTTCGGAGCACAATTTTTCATATGTAATAACTGTATTGCGACTATTGACTAAGTACTACTTGAGGTGTATCTTTCAATAGAACTGCTGGTGTGGAGCACTACTATTAATTATTACAAGTGGTGATGCTGAAGTGCACTTCTGTATTTTGGTTATTGCTGTGGTGTACTTCGCGCTGTTACGCTACGTGGTGGCTGATTACTTGGTGTAGACAAGCGCAGTGGTGTCCAAACTTTTTTTTTCAATTTATTTTGGGGTGAGTGTCATAGATTTTATTGCATATTTAATTATATATAACTTAAACTTCAAGCACTTCGCCTTTTCTCATATTAAAAAATACACTGAATGGAAATTTGAGTATATCTCACAACTAGTGGTTGTTTTACATCCGCTGCTTACTTAGATGGGGCACCCGTAGCAACGTCGGTTACACTTTTCGTGATTGGCACTGCACAAACTGTTGTAGCGTCGAAACCTGTGGAAACCTGGTCCGTGTTTGTAGTAGTGAAAATACTGTGGTCACAGCTAAGGAGGTGGTTACGAAGGTGGTAGAACAGTTAAGACTGACGTTGGGCGTCAGTGTCCACGGTATTTAACTTATTGGCAGCAGTGGGGCTGTAGTCCGTACGTCATCCGATGAGGAGAGAGAGAAGATCGTGTCCAACATAAAGTTTGGGGAAGTCGGGCTTGATGTTTCCGTTTTTAACAAATTAGTCCCGGGAGTTCTAGTGCAGTCCATCTATCAGAAGCCAAGTTCGTTCTTTTTTATAGATAGGTTGTACGAGATAAACCTGAAGGGTTGTTGTACAATCGCCAAGAGTTCGACGAGAAGGTCCGCCTAGTGTTGAAACCATGCTCAGATGTTGACGACAAGACTAATTTTGTTTTGGAAAGTGGCACTGTCATGGATTGCCTTTTGCGCACTGGTAGGGTGTACGCTGACAGGATGTTGTTCCCGGTACGCCTCCATGGTGTGGTACCTATACGTTACCGCTGCTTCAGCTTTGTCCATATGGTCAAAAACTTCAAGGTGAGGGGTGCAGTTTGCCGACATTGTACTCAAAGTGGCCACAGACACAGTATGTGTACGAAAGCCGTACACTGTAGAAACTGTGACTTTATGGGGCACCCGGTGAGTCATCTTACGATGGGCACCGTCTGTCCTGAATATAACAGGATGGTTCCGCGGGTAGCAACTTGTCATTAAAATGGCCTTGCTCATACTGCAATATAACTGCAACCGCAGTCATCATGCATTGTGCGACCTTGGCCATTAGCATTGGGGTAGAACTGGACCAGGAGACGTATGAGGGTAGGATCAATAACTAACCAGCGGTAATGCGTGTGTTTATTGACGCCAATGGCCGCTCTGTTGCCGTTGTGAATGGTGTGAATATAGAAGTCACACTTGCCCTGACGAGTAGTCACGGTGTTTACATGGCCATTGAACGGCCGCACGAATGGAAAAAGGTCCTCAAGCACTGACTGCATAGTTGTGTATGATTCATTTTCTGTGCTTGTCTAAAGGTATTCCATCACAGTGGAAAATTGCAAATGTCTTATCGGGCATGAGTCTCCTCCTATTGCTTGGAAATATTCTGGAGAGTGTACTGATAGAAAGGCTTCAAATGAAGCGTCAGAGGTCTTCTCAGGTCTCTCGGGCGATACATGGTGGCGTCTTCGTTACGTGCGCAACATATGAAGCTTCTGTAAGGCGAAATAAGATTTTGAGCTGCCAGCATAATGTTGTTGACGTGCCTGCCCGTTTGTAAAACAGTCTCAACTGACGCTTTACAGGTACTGATGGGTGCACCCTTCTGGACCTTGAGGTTTTATGATTGAGTAATGCCTATAGGATTAAGAGTGGCATGCCTTTACTGGATGGGCTAAGAACTTAGCATTTAGAGGGATTAAATTCCAAGGAGCGTAAATTGCTGTTAAAGTAACGTGTCCGTGCCTCATGGCAATCACGTTGGAAAAATAATGAGAATGGTAGAATGACTTTTAACTTTAGTCGTGATGTATCATTTGTAGAAAGTCACCCGGGGTTTGGCTTTAACTAATACCTCGAATTTCTACTTATGATCGATTGTAGTCTGGCTTTCTCGACTCCTGAGACGACAGTTGCATTGAACGCGTTTGGTTTTTTCCTCAAGCGTCTGCGCCAAGCGAGGTTTGGTCAACTCTGTTTAAACTCTACTTTGACTGGCATATCGATATAACCCACTTACTGGGGGATGAGCCGTATGGGGCTCTACAACTTATCCTAGAGACTACTCCCCGTTCTAGTATGGCATTGTGGTGAAACCCATTTCCACGGTTTTTTCCATTGCATTGGTTGTTTGAAGTTGACTTGGGCTTTGCGCACACATTCCTATAAGCGTATCTGTTTTCTTATTAAACGAAAGGGTTTGGGATAGACACCCATTACCTAGTGAGAATACAATGCCCACGCGCATGATATTGATTGGTTCTTTATCCCTGCAGCTTTTTCTGCAGATTCTATCCCATACCGAATCTAAGATCGCATGGGACTTGATGCAAAACCTGGCTGGCGATTTTTGTTATTTCTTTCTTCATAACTCTTTCTCTTTTTAAATTTGGTATCATGGGTGTTAGGAGTCCCGGAAACAATCTTCCGGTTTCTGCCTGAGAGCAGGCCCCCAAATCACGGGAAGAGCCTCGGCTCGGTGTGGGGTTGCACAGCAACCGGGTGTCTGGCCCAAAGAAAGACAGAAGTTTTAGGTAGGCCTCCACTCACCAGGGGCGTAGATATGTCCATACACATATCTGCACTGAAATTCGGTGACTTACCATCCTTGAGACGCTGAATGTGCGTTTTCACACTTCGTGTATTATCGGGCAACGTAAGGTTAAACCTTCACGGCAGGTGTCCATATAAAACCCCTAGTCCCATCAGTAATAGTAATAATTCGTGCAACGAACAAACAGTTGCAATTTAACATACAATCTGTGGGCAACAATGATTTAAAAGCATGTGCTTTTTAAAAGCTTATGCTTATTAAAATTGCTCCAATTAGTAAGTAGAAACTCCCAAATCAATTGCCAAATTTTATATATTTGATATGAAATGGAAGGTATATAATGTTCGCCCAAAGGTGGACTTCCGCTTTTGTATCGCACCCGTATTCAATTAGCTGCATTAGTATCATGCAACAGAAAAAACACAGTGCGTTCTACTTTATGCAACCGTGACACCGTAAAGAAAAACACAGTTACCGTAAAAGTTGTCCGCCGTTGCTTACAATCAATGCAAGTTTTCGTGTGCACGCAAGCTGTTTATTATATACAAATATATGGATGGGTGGAAATTTTGGAATCGCTTCTGATCCATTTAGAGTTTAGGAGACGTAAACACGTTCTGCAAACACAATTACATAAAAAGCGAGAACGTTTTTTTTTTTAATATTGATTTACAAAACGTATGTATTGCCAGCTGAATTCTATTCTAGTCTATTAAATATGCAAAGCTATGTTGAATACATCATAAATAGCCTTTGGATGATGAACAGACAGTAAACATAATATCAGATCAATCAGTGGTTGTTGGCGTAGATTTGCTATAAAAATGTTAGAAAATATGTTGATAATAAGCAGTGACAGTTAAGCAGTCATCAATCACAAGAGAGTAGAGGGAATCTGATGCATTTGGTATCAAGCTGTCATTTACTAAATGTTTTAAAGTATTTATTTACTTCTTCTTTTTTACATATTTTTATTAAATTTCTATGCACAACTATGAAACAAGTACGCGCTCTATGAATAATGATGGTGATGAAATAGTTGGTGACTCATAGAAGTTTTTCAAGGTATTCAAGGCGCAAATATTAAAGCACATGCTTTTTATCATCTAAGAGTGATTAATATGAAATTTTTATAAACTTTATTTTTTGTAACATTAGGAAAAGACAAGCAATATATTGTCGCTCGATTTGAATGTATATAGACCCGATACGTAGAATTAATTAATTATTATCCGCCTAAGTGGCCGAGTAGGCAAGAGTCTGGACCAGCAACTCATTGGTCGTGGGTTCAAGTCTCAAGTGCGGTAAAGTTTTTAATAAAGCCAGAAGCCTTTAGATGCTAGTGCTTTAAGACATTCTCTGGCTAAATTAATAATAATAATAATAATTATTTATTTCATATAATAAAATAAGTTTTAATAAAAATGGTCGTGTTTACTTTTCACTTAAGATAAGAATGGACGGTATAATGAAGAAACATAAAAAAAGCCTTTTTCTCTCGTGGTAAGATTTCCTGCATATTGGAATATTAAAATGGTTTAGGATATGTAGAAATTTTAGCGACTGAAAATAAATAGTTATCTATCTGAGATCAGATAAATTTTATGGGGAGAATTCCCCTTTTTTCATTTCCAACGCAATGCATGAAAATCGCAGGAAAATGATCTAATTTCTACATTTTTTTAAATTATAAAAGCATTTTATGCTATTTATTAAACATATATATAGCTCTTTTGCACCATACGTACGAAAGACCGCTAAGTTATAACACTCTTAGCACTATGGTGTGTATTTCTACGGTTTGACGTACTCATTAATGTGCTCTTCTCGTCAGAGCTTAACTTTATCGGTAAATTTATTACTTTTATACTTTGTCCGCGAACGTCGTTGTTCGTACATATGTTTGTTCAATTTCGTTTACTTGAACTTCTTCTTACCCACAATGAGAAAATTAAAAAAATTCAATAAACGAATAATTTAACCAACACTTATCTAATAGTTGACAAAAACATATAATAAAACTATTTCTATAAAGTCCATGATCCAACAAGTTCCTAAAGCAAAAAAAAACTGCTCACCACTTTTGTATCTACGGTTAATGTTAGTTTCATCCCAAGACAAGTAGAATTTCCCTACTTGTTTTCACTTACGGGCCGCACAGTGGATTGATTGGGTATGATTTTATTTTGAGCCCTCAGATAGATTTCTTATATTTATATATAAAATGTGATTAATCTTCAGGCTAATTAGCTCAAAATAAAAGTATGTTTGAATATGTATGGGTTTAATAAACGATATGAATACGCAAAATTTTGATCCTCTCAGTGGACAGTACATTAAGTAGGTTTAATAGGCATTTTTTTATTTTTTTTTATTTGTATACAAAATGTATATAAAAACTAAAGCTCACATTATGGATACCTGTATCTGGCGTTCGTTTTAATACTCATACTTAGCTCGTAGTTTTTTCACTTGTTTACATTTTTTACGA